AGGAGCTCCACTTGAATAAGAGAATCAAGGCTTAAAGTGGTGGGGTATTTATAGTTAGATCCGTTTTGACTGACCAGGAAGCCTGTTTGTGTGTGTATGTGTGTGTGCGTGTATGTCTCTGTGTCTCTGTGTGTGCATGCCGATGCATACATGCATATGTGTGCACATTTATGTGTGGAAGCTGTATATCAAGCTCAGGTTTTGGTCCTCAGGACACCATCTACCTTGGTTTTGGAGGCAGGGTCTCTCACCGACCTGGAACTCGCTGATTCAAGTAGGCTGGCTGGTCATGGAGTCGCAGGGATCCACCTGTCTTTGTTTCCCCAACTCTAAAGTTGTAAACAAGTGTGTGCTTCATGTGTGGGGTTGAACATAGATCCTCAAGCTTGGTAAGTTCTTTATGGACTGAGCTATCGTCCCAGCCCCTATACTTTTAGCATATACACTTTATATCAGTCTCATTCCACATTAAGAGATCACACATGGTTGTTAGGGAAGTACTTTATTTGTAAGAGCCTCCCAGGGGTCTCTTTGGTACTGCAAGGCAGGAAACTGCACTCAAAGGGGAAGCTGGAGGCCACCAATCTGCACGTTGAAGGTTGATGAGTGATGAGGAAAGATCAGTGTAACACACCAGGCTTGGGGTCTCCTTCTGGATGAGTACAGAAGGGCCCCCACTCTGCCTGTAGTGTGGGAGAGGGGTGTTTTATCACTGCGGGGACTTGGTTTGGCTGGGAAGGGTTGCTAGAGGAGACAATGTGTCCAGATGTTGAACAAGGCTACTCCCTCAGCACTTTGGCGACTTTCCACTGCAAAACTTGTTGGGATAGAATTGATACTTTACATTGTAGCTTTTCCGGTTCCGGTAGAAACATTCAACTGCGACTTTGTCACATTGGCACAGCTGTCTCTGACAGGAGTTCTGGTTGGCTGAAATTAGAGGAAAGCAGACACTGAGCTGACGGTTGTTAATATCCCACGGCTGCTGCTAGGGATCGGCCTGTTCTGAGGCAAGCACTGGGGCCACTGGAAAGGCAGACCCCGTCAGATGGGGACACACAGCCCGTGTGATGGGGATGCACAGTGGCCAAGCTTGGCACCGCCAGAGGTTTGCCTAGCTTCCTAGACAACCTCTTCTAGGTTTTAGTTTAGTTTAGTTTAGTTTTTGTTTTTAAGGACAGGGTCTAATGTAGCTCAGGCTAGCCTTGAACTCTACTTGGTGAGGATAACCTTGAACTTCTGATCCTCCTACCTCTACACCCTGGGCTCTAGGATTCTAGGCACACTAAACCATGCCCAGTTTACACAGTGGTAGGGATGGAACCCCGGTCCTTGTGTACGTGAGGCTGGCACTTTGCCAGGTGAGCTATATCTCTGGCCCCACCTTCGTGTTAACAGACCTGCTTGTGTAAGGAAACCCAGCCTCACTGACCTCAGGATGGATGGAATTGGTGAAAACCTGTGTGGTCTATTCCTCCCCCTTAGCTGTGATTGGTCTTAAGTAATATGCAGCTTTATTCTGAATGAAGTGCTAAAGAGGAAGTCAGCAGAGGCTTCTGGGAAGTGTTCATTTCCCCTCTTCAGAGTCTTGGAGAGGGAAAGCCACCTGTCGTGGGTGGCCAAGGGCATTCTGGGAGCTCTAGTGTGACTTGTAGTATAAGCACAGATGTTGGCACCATGCCGGAGCTGAGGACCAGGCTTGATCCCGGGCTGTAGCAGTTGCCCAGATTGCCACCACACTGCCCTAGAATTCTTTCCCATCTGACAGAGGCCCCATTACTCCATGTGTCCCCACCCTGCAGGCATCATGGCTCGCTGTCCTCCCCTCCGCTCCTGCCCATCTCCCCCAGCCAGGGTGAGCCCTCTTTGTGCAGAAGTGTCTTTTGCTGCTTTGCTAAATAATAGGTCTCTGTTGCTGGGGTCCCCAAACCTGAAGACAATGGCTAGGAAGGCCCGGCTTGTCCCTGTCCCTTCTTTGTCTCATTGCTCAGAGTGGCCAACGGTCCTCTTTGACCTTTTGGCCATGCTGGGCCTTGTTTGGGGGATGGCCCAACCTTCCTCTCCCACTATGAGCCTCACTGACTCTCTTAGGACTCAGCTTAGGTACCACAGTTTGCAGGCCCCCCTGCAAGCCTCAGGCTGTACAAAACCCGTTTCTGCCTTCCCATTGGAGTCTTCTTTGAGGTTCTAAGCAGAGATAAATTCCCCTTCTGCTACAGCACACTGCCCAGCATTTATTTGCTCAATAAACACATGAGGGCCGTTTCCCAGGATCTCAGGGTTTTTTTTACCAGAGCAGGTGATTTTGCCCCCTCGGTAGGAGAACTTGTAGGTCAGAAATTTTGTGCCACAGCCGTGTTTCTGCAGCCGGGCGTAGCAACAGTCGTGAGCAACACAGCACCTGGTCGGTGGGGGCAGAGGAGGGCATGTCCTGTTGAGGCTGCATTTTCACAGCCCTGAAATCCTGGTGCCTCCCCCACACCCCCTGATCTTTAACCCTGAGCAGAGACTCAGAAACATTGGAGGGGTCTAGAACAGAGTTCCCAATGCACTGACTGTTTTACTGGAGGGGGTACCCCACGGCCCTGAGGAAAAATACCAGGTCTGTCCTAGTCCTGACCCCACCAGGGCCCTGAGGCAACTGGTACCACTTCTGTCCTAGTCCCATCCCAGACAGAGTGAACTGAAGACAGGGGTGTCCTCACCGATCTGTCGCATCCTTGGAGGATCCCTTGCCACCCCAGCCACAGTGGCAACCATAGAAGGCATAGCTGGTCTCAGCTCTCTTTCCCGTCTTAAGTAAGATCATTTGTCTAAACTCTGCAAGGCTCCCTTGGATCTGTATTGGGCCTGAAAGGAGATGGAGAAATGGCCAGTGAAGGGCAGTGAGCCCTGTGCCCCTCCTCCGCATTGGCATCTCTCTACTGCTTCTTTCCCCACAAATGCCTTCCTCCCCATTCCCACTGAGAGAGGGCTGGGGCAATGGGAAGGGGCACTGGAGGATGGGGTGCCCCTCTCCTTAGATTACCCCCCACTCTGTTGAGTTCAGAACAAGTCTTACCAAAGGCCATGATCACAGCTGTTAGCAGCAGGAGGACCTTCATGTTGTCAGCCTGTGAACGACAAGTATA